AAAAAAAAAAAAAAAAAAAAAAAAAAAAAAAAAAAAAAGGAAAGAAAAGAAAAAGAAAAACGCAACCAGAGCTGCTCGTTCCATCATCACGGAGAGATGCAGCATCCTGAGTGATTTAGAGTGGTGGTCCTCAGCGTGTGATTCCCGGGCCACTAGCAGCAGCACCTGGGGACTTGTTCAACCCACAATTTTTGGGACCCCACCCCAGGACTTTAGAACCAGAAACTCTGGGGGTCACCCATGGTCTGTGTTTTAAGAAGCCATCCCGGTGATTCTTATGCAGACAACAATTTGAGATCCACTGTTTACAGTGTATTTTCTGGAGTCCAGCTGCCCAGGTTCTATTTCAGCTTCAGCACAGATAAGCTGTGTGACCTTGGGTAAGTTACTTAACTTCCCTGAACTTCAGTTGCCACTGTCAAATGAAAACTGTGATAGGACCTACCTGGTTGGGACTATTGTGCAGATTTAATGAATTACTTTATGACGGTATTTAGAACAGTGGCTCATAAAAAGTGCTAGGTTTTTATATTGGCCATTTTTTATGTTGGTATCAACTGTACCAAACGCTATTAATTAGCATTAATAATGACAATGGAATAGTTTTTGGGTACTCGTTCTCACTCATTATTGTCATTATATAGTAAATGCAGACATCCTTCTTGGAGAAAAAATACACTTTTTAAGCAATTTGAAATGATTTGCTTGGGTTAACTATTACATGTTCATGTAAATGTTGTATATCCATTTGAAAATTTTGGAAAGTAGTACATCCTTGAACAATTTTAAGAGATAAATAATTCTCACCCAGATCTTCACTCTCCCTTTTAGTATTAGAGTGATGTGTTGGTTATCTGTAGATCAGTGAGTAGATAAGTAGGGAGGCTTCTCGTTTTCCTCCCCACTCTTCTCATTCTTTTCTAATTTCTGATGCAAAGCATCTGTTTTTGGTTTTAATTAAATGGGAGAGTTGAGCACATCTCTGACCAATTGATGGAGGCACGTGTTCCATCCCTGTCTTGGGTCTTAAAGAATTGCATCAGTTCCCTGCTGAATCCTTTTCTGTTCTTGAGGGCTGCTTCCAGGTGACAGTGGAGGGCAGGCTCTATGGCTGTGTACCCGCTGGGCTCCAGTCCTTCTGTTCTCCGTACCTGGGTGAGTCCCTCTTCTATTCTAGGCAGAGTTTGTAGCCAGCATCGGTTTTGCCTTCAATACTGATGTGGCTCTACTGTCTCCACTCTGCAACCTTAACCTTGTGATAGCTCACAGGGGGTTCCTCAAAGAGGAGAGAGATACCTCATTAGTGGGGTCAACATCCCATCTTCTCTCTCTCTCTAATATAACACAGTTTCAAAAGAGAAAGCAAGGGCCTGGTGCGGTAGCTCACGCTTGTAATCCCAGCACTTTGGGAAGCCGAGGCAGGTGGATCACCTGAGGTCAGGAGTTTGAGACCAGGCTGGCCAACATCATGAAACCCGTTTCTACTTAAAAAAAAAAAAATTAGCCGGGCATAGTGACACATACCTGTAATTCCAGCTGCTCATGAGGCGGAGACAGGAGAATTGGTTGTACCCTGGAGACAGAGATTGCAATGAGCCAAGATTGCGCCACTGCACTCCTGCTTGGGCAACAGAGGGAGACTCTGTCTCAAAAGAAAAAAAGAAAAAAGAAAAGGAAAAGAAAAAGAGACAGAAAGCAAGTACCTGAGAAGGAGAATATGATTATGGCAGGGTGCTTGAACCACAGTGATTTTGAGTTAAATAAAACCACAACAGATATTCAGTTATCTCTATTAAGCAAAAACACAGGCAGAACATTTTAGTCCTTTATTTTTCTTACTGCCTGCCTCAACTGAAAGGTGGATATGTAAACGTTGACTGGGTAAGACATCTGGACTACAAATTATTATCCGGAAGTTCAGCTTCTCTCATATATTTCTATTCCTCTCTGTCCTGAGTATAGAAGCCAAGTGCAAATGCCTTAAAGGTCATTCTAGGCATAGCTGTTAATTTAGTTTCCTAATTATATTTAGTTTTAAATTCACACAAGTAGCCAATGCATGTGAAACACATGTTGTTGAAAATTGAAATTTACAAGCATCATTGTGGAGTGCTGGAAGATTTGCAGTAACCTAGAAAACTCATTTGGGTGGCTAATGAAGCTTCTGAACATGTGTAGGCAGTTATTACTCAGATATTGACCGAACGGGTGAGCATGCTGTATAAATTTGCGTAATTGCTTAACTAAGCAAATAGCTTTCAGTTGCTTTTACATAATAATTTTACTTAAAGAATAAATACTTCCCATTTCCTCCCTCCTTTCTGCCACATCCTGCTCAGTTTCTAGGGCTTTAATATTCTTGTGCTCTTGCTTTTCCTTGAAATGGAAACCAAACCCCTGTGAGAAGAATGCAGCTGCTTCCCATCGTGACATGAGTGGACCTCGCTCTGAAGGTGGAGTGTTTGGGTTGGAAGCCTTGAAGCCTGTTCTTGAAATGCCCACTCTGTAATATGCAGATAGTCTTGTACTTTTGGCCATTGTATCTCTGTTTCTCATTGAAACATGAATCTGCTTTGCTGTCGTGGTTTCTTTTGTCAACACTCTTCCCTTTGCTTTTGCCCTGTAAGGCTCAGAACGCCCAGCAGCTGCATGAAAGAATCCAGTCCTCGAGTATGGACGCCAAGCTGGAAGCCCTGAAGGACTTGGCCAGCCTCTCCAGGGATGTCACGTTTGCCCAGGAGTTTATAAACCTGGACGGCATCTCCCTCCTCACGCAGATGGTGGAGAGTGGCACTGAGTAAGCGACTTTTTTCCTAACTTTCACAGCTGTCTTATTTGTCTCAATGTTTTGAATATCATCACAATCCTTACACTTGCAAACTCTGTTTTAAAGACCAGAGCGTTGGTTAGACTCAGGAAAAAATAGTTCTAAGATAGTGACGAGGCAGTGGGTTTGTAATTTGTAATTTCAGGACTTCTCCATCCTTTGCCCACCAACTACCTAGTGTCTGAGACAAAATAGAAATCCATCGAATGCTAGAAATTTCAGATTTATGTGGAAAAAAATCATGTCGTTATCTCAGAGGGTCTTGCCAACACTGAAATTATAAGTTGACAAAACATTAATCCCACATCTTCCTTGCCTATCCCTAAGAAAAATTTTTCCTCTCTTAATCCATTAAAAAATTAGATTGCCTAATTATGTTTCTTTTTATATTGACAGCTCAAGCTAGTTCAAGTTGTGTTTCAAAGTATAAAACCAGATCAAGATATCATCTCTGAAGTAATTTTAAAAATTTAAAAATTAACACTTGAATGATTAAATACCTGTCATTAATTACTTGAAATTAAATGTAGTTAACAGGTATTTACTACCTACTGTGTACAAGAGTTGAACATGGGAAAATTTTTTCTTGTGAGCCTTGCCTTCTGCAAGTTGGTGGAGACTATTATATAGGCAGAATTCCATCGTGCATAATTCCTCCTGAGAGCCAGGAGTCTAGAGGGCAGACCCATTAGCTCTCTCTTTTTTTTTAATGTTTTTTTTTTAATTGGAGATGGAATACTTGCCGCCCAGGCTGGTATATGGTGGTGCAATCTCCATTCATTGCAACCTCTGCTTCCTGGGTTCAAGTGATCCTCCTGCCTCAGCCTCCTGAGTAGCTGGGATTTCAGGTATGTGCCACCACACCTGGCTAATTTTTGTATTTTTAGTAGAGACGAGATATCACCATATTGGCCAGGCTGGTCTCGAACTCCTGACCTCAAGTGATCTGCCTGCCTCTGCCTCCCAAAGTGCTGGGATTACAGGTATAGGCCATCATGCCCGGGTGGGACCCATTATATCTCAAAGAGCCTCACAGAGGAGGTGACTGTGAACTGTCCTGGAGGGAGTTGGAGTTCCATCATGAGGGAGGAAGGAATGTCACTTCTTCTGGGGAGCTCCCCTTCTCAGCCAAGACTTGGATTCTCTGGTGTGACTGTGGAGCATCAGGAACCAGGCAGGGCTAGCTCTTATGTTGGTGGAGGGACAACTCCTTTAACCACTAAATGCTGAATGCCTGGTAGGATAAGCAGGAGGCTGCCCCCTGCCATGTGGTCAGGTGCTATTGACATAGACCAGTAGAGCATATAATTTAAAGCATGTTAAATTGCTGAATCAGTTAATTGCATATTAATATGCTAAGTTAATAATGTACAGTGTCAGGACAGGCATTTATTATGAAAGAGTAAATATCATTGAGAATGGAGGCTTAAAACCAGGTTGTTTAAACAGTACCTAGTGATACAAAGAATGAATTGATAATTCTGCATGTTAAAGATTTTTCTAGGCTCCTCCCCTTCCTTCTCCTCCCCTCCCCTCCTCTCCCCTTTCTCTCTTTTCCCTCCTTCCCTCCCTCTCCTTTCCCTTGCTCTCTCCCTCCCTTCCTCCTCCCTTCCTTTTCCTTCCTCCTCCTTTCCCTTCCCTTGCCTTCCCTTCCTTCCTTCTCCCTTCCCTTCTTTCTCCCTTCCCTTCCTCCTCCTTCCCCTTCTTCCTTCCTTCCCCTCATCCTCCCTTCCCTTCCCTCTCCTTCCCTTCCCTTTCTTCCCTTCTCTTCCTCCTCCCTTCTTTCCTTCTTCCTCCCTTCTTCCCTCCCCTTCCTCTCCTTTCCCTTCCCTTCGTCTCCTTTCCCTTCCCTTCGTCTCCTTTCCCTTTCCTTCCCCTCTCTCCCTTCCTCACCTGCCTTCCTCACCTACCTCCCTCCCCTCCCCTCCCTCCCTCCCTCCCTTCCTTCCTTCCTTCCTTCCTTCTTTCCTTCCTTCTCCCCACTTCCATCCTCCCTCTTACATTTGGCATCATCTGGCCTCTGTAGTTGGTAGTAGTGAAAAACATTTTTTTCTCATTCAAAGACAGGATATTCTTTAGAGTTTGGAGTTGGGGATCTTAACTCACAGACAAGTAGAGAAAATTCCTAGAACCAAACAATGGGAAGAACATTAAGTCAGAGAAAACTGACAAACAAGCCTGGGTGATCGGGAAAGGGTCAACTGTAGACAGTCATCATATATTTTTTCAAGGACGATGAAACCTCTGTTCATGAAAGTTTAGGCATACCTCAACTTGGAGTGGGACAGGGAAATGTAAACCCTGGATATTGTCAGAATCCAGTGTGGTTACTGTAAGCTGGAGCTGGAGCTTGAATCAGCAAGAGGGAAGTTGAATAAGTTTAGGGATCCAAGGAGCTTGACAAAGGAAATGGATACAGAGGGTCCTATCTGTGAGGGAAGCTCCAGGCTGGAAGCTAGCCTGCAACATGTCAGGCCCCTATTCCCTGTTTCTAGGGAGCAGAGAAGGAGGACAAGTTGTGACTAGAAACACCTTCAGTCATAACTGGATGACTTCATGTACCTGCCAGACATGGTAGCTTATACTATGGGCCCACCACTGCTTCTGGTGTGAGAGCGGGGCCTGGGGAAGGCTGCCTTGGCAACACTAACATGTTAAATAAAAATGTAAAAATCTTACACCTGTTTCTTGATTAAGCTAAGTTCCAGCCATTGATATGTCGAGGGCAATGCATCAGAGCCAGGTGTAATGTCACCTGCTGATGAGTTGGTTCTGCCACAGATGCCTAGGTATACAGGGCTCGAGCTCTGGCACATTCAGAATGATATTGTGCAAATACCACTGAAATTATTAGACTTGCAATTGTAATTACGGTTACCATGGTAAAGACACCAAAGCAAGGGCCCGTGGGATCTGCACCCTGAACGGGGGGCTGTGGCAGAGCCCCTCACCTCCAGAGGCTGGCAGTTATGGATTTTGATGATGAAACTGCCTACTGGGAGCCTTTGTTTTCCAGGTTCTCTTTGCTTTAGTTTGCTAGAGCTGCCATCACAAAATACCTCAGACTGAGTGGCTTAAACAACAGAAACTTTATTTTTCTTCAGAGTTCTGGAAGCTGGAAGTCCATGATCAAGGTGTTGGCAGGGCTGGTTTTTGCTGAGGTCACTGGATTGTGGATGGCTGCCTTCTCTCCCTGTCCTCATCCTGGTTTTTCTTTTTATGTTGAAATCTCCTCCCCTTAAAAAGACAAAAATCAGATTGGATTAGGGTCACCCAGTGGCCTTATTTTAAAGTAATCACCCCTTGAGAGGGCTTATCCCCAAATACTGTCTCATTCTGAGGTACTGGGGGTTAAAGCTTAAACCTGTGAATTTTGAGAAGTCACATTTCAGCCCGTAATGCTTATGAAAGGGACACAACCATTCTTGCTTTAAAAGAAAGAGTAAGAACTGCTGCTATGTATGTGCCTTGTCAACATTCCTGCTTTTTCTCAGTGCTGTGGCCTTGCTTTATGACACAGCTCTACCTCTAGAACAGCCCCAAAGATTCGCCATCTCTCAGAACCAAGATGGGGCACAGCAGGTCTGAATTATATCTCCATGTTGCACATGTATTATGCAATGTGAAAGAATATCAGTACTGAATGTACTTTAGGTGAACTAAAGCAACTGAATGCCTTTCTTAAAAAAGGGAGTATCATGCTTATTAATATTTTAACAACATTTCAATCAATGATGGATCACAAATATAATGGTGGTCTCATAAGATTAAAATGGAGCTGCCCTATACAGGTGTACCATTTTTTATATCTTATATCGTAATTTTACCATACCTTTTCTCTGTTTAGATATCTTTAGATACACAAATATTTGCTATTGTGTTACCATTGCCTAGAGTACTCAGCAAAGTAACATGTTGTACAGGTTTGTAGCCTAGAAGCAATAAGCTGTGCCACATAGCTTACATGTGCTATGCCATGTGTGTGTGTGTAAGTATACTCGATGATGGTCACACAACAAAATCACCTAATGATGCGCAACACATGACTGTATTTATAATAATCAGTAAGCCATCCAGTTTGATACATGCAGCCAGGTTTCAGGCAGATAAACAGAGCTTAAGGCCAGATATTGGGTGAATTCTCATCTGCATTTGTCTCTTACACTTTCCTATCACACTGTATTTGTGGGAAGGAATGATGTCTCTCTGGGTCACCTTTAGTGTCTCCTTTCCTGTTTTATGTGAGTTCAAAGTCACGCTACTTTGGTGGATGGAGGAAGGAGGGACTGGAGTTGCAAAGCCTCCTGTCTTCCTTCTGCTGGTCTGCATCACACACTCAGAGGTGGCATATTTAACCCACAGCACATTTTTCAGATCTTTTGTCGAGATTAAAAAGAAAAGAGAAAGCCATTTTTCTTATAAGAAATCCTGGCTTCTCTGTTAAACTTAGAGCAAGGCTTTAATTAATTAACAAGAAACCTTTGGGATAGAAACCATACAAATTAAATAGATCCTGCAATTTGGAAGGCATTTAGTCATGACTCCTGAGCAAGGTTCCAGTTAGAGAAGGTGGCAGTTTCCTAAGCAGGACCTGTGGAAACGTTTTGTAAACATTGAAGAATGTTGCTGGAATTTTTCTCCTTACTTTAAAAATAATGACATTCAGAGACGACTTGCCTGCTCCTCATTACCCAATGCTGGGCTTTAAAATTTTTATTTTTTATTATACTATGTAAGTTCTGGGATACATGTGCAGACGTGTGGGTTTGTTACATAGGTATACACGTGCCATGCTGGTTTGCTGCATCCATCAACCTGTCATCTACATTAGGTATTTCTTCTAATGCTATATCTCCCCTAGGTCTCCACCGGCACAACAGGCCCTGGTGTGTGATATTCCTCTCCCTGTGTCCACGTATTCTCATTGTTCAACTCCCCTTATGAGTGAGAACATGCAGTGTTTGGTTTTC